CAAGGGGGAAGGGTACAGGGGATGAATCTAGAATTCAGTAATACATATGTTCAGAGGCCGTTATGATAATTGTTTGAATGGAAAGAATTGGGAATATTATCTGTTCCTTGTTTTAGGAAGAAATATTAATGCAAATTAAAAACACTTTCAGATTGGCTCCTTATAAATTATTAATAATGACTTCTCCCAGAAGCAATTTTAGTTTCTCTTCAGTCTTTGGTTCTCTGACTACATTTTTGGAAAACAAAATGTAAAAAAGTTTCTGCATTTTCTGCCCTTTCAGAGCTTGTAATAATGGTTCAAATATTCTTTCACCTGTAGTTTCAAGGCAATACAAATCCATTCTCCTCTACAAATTTCTTTATTTTTTCTTATTCCCAGATAAATTACTTCTGTTTTAGGAAAATCTATCTTTAATTGTATCTCCAAATTTTTTTCTTATTTAACACAGTAGTTGTACATTTAAAACTTAAATTATGAGATTGTACATACATAAGTACCATACTACACATTCAATATAAAATTTAAAAACATTCTTATATATTGTTATAGGTACCTACATATAGACTAACTGTTAAAACATGCATGAAGGCCAGGTGCGATGTCTCACACTTGTAATCTCAGCACTTTGGGAGGCAGAGGCGGGCGGATCACAGGGTTAGGAGATTGAGACCATCCTGGCTAACACAGTGAAAGCCCATCTCTACTAAAAATACAAAAAATTAGCCGGGCATGGTGGCACATGCCAGTAGTCCCAGTTACTTGGGAGGCTGAGGCAGGAGAATTGCTTGAACCCAGGAGACAGAGGTTGCAGTGAGCCAAGATCGCACCACTACACTCCAGCCTGGGTGACAGAATGAGACTTCATCAACAACAACAACAAAAGAAAAAAAATGCATGGGAAAATAACAACAGCCATAGAGTAATGTTCAGTTCTGGCAGCAGTTTCCTACCCTCTCCAAACACTCACTTCCCACAAAAGCCAGTGTTCTAGAAATTTAGTTGTATAAAAGTCACAAAAATATTTGTTAAAAATGTAGATTCTAGCCTTCAACTTCAAAAACTCTGATGCAGCAGGTCTGAGTTGCATTGTGAATGTGCATTTGAAAAAGAACCCCAGCCGATTCAGCCGCAGATGATTAGACCACTACTCTAAATCAGAAGTACTGAATATGCACAGCTGGCAGGTGGATGTTGGCGCCTGAAGTGCCAGCGTGAGGTCAAGCCTGGAACATGATTTGGCAGTATTAGTCTGGAGGTGGAGTTAAAACCTTGGAGGGGATGGAAACATCCAAGGGAGGGTGTAGAGAGAGAGGAGAGGTGGACTGAGGATAGAAAGCCAGAGTGCAGGAGACAGAAAAAAGAGGAGGAGTCTACCAAGGAAACTAAATGCAAGTCTGGAGAGGGAGGAGACGAACAGAGAGCACCATGTCATAAATGCTGACAAGGCAGCATTCAGCAAGGAGAGGTGCTCAAAGGATCAAATGAAAAAAAATGGCCGAGAAAGGGAAAGCCAGAAAAATGCTCTTTGTCTGTGTAGTCTGTCTCCGGCACTACAAAGTTTGCTCCTAGAAGGCAGGGTTATTTGTCATTGCATTCCCAGTAACTGGCATATTGTAAACACTTAATAAATGCTTGGTGAACTAAACTGGATTGGGACTGACAGCTACCATATAAGAATTTTTAAAGAGCTCCATTACAACTTGGTTCCATCCAGGACCCTCATTAGGATGAGCAAATGTTGTCCAGATAAAACAATCCACAATAGAGAATTAATTGCAACCAGATCGATAAAGCAGTTATTTTGAGCCATCTGCCAAGATGTGGTAATGACATTTAAAAAACAATGTGCAATCTTTGTGTGTATGTGATGGTATTCTGAAGAATAAAATGTACAAGTAATTAAAAAACAAAGCAAAGACCTTTAAAATCTTTAAATTTAAATTGTGAGAGCATTTAAAAAAATGCAAATGGTGTCTCATGATCATTTGTAGAAGCATGTGTAGCCATGAGGAGAACAAGCCACATTAAACGAGGTAAATGACTCTCCAAGAATGCACATGTGTTGGTTGCTATGACAACAGCTGGGTTTTATTGAACGGAGAGCAAAAAATCAATTAGAAACCATTGGAAGAAACTGAACAGGAACATAAAACATTCTGCCTCACAATTTCAGGAACTTTGCTACATCTGTGCACTGAATGGAAAGGGTTTGTGTGCACGACAGTCGCTGGAGCAGTAGAAAAGTCACCCTCTTGATGCATTTCCATCATCCTAACATCCCCTTTCACAGCCTGGTCTTCTCAATATCCAAGTAATTTATTAGACTGGTAAAAAAGTTAGCCAGTTGCCTGCCTCCTATGTATCAATGGCATTAAACAATTCTTGGCTTGGATATACATATATTTTTTGAACCAAACAGTTTTCATTTTTATTCATAAAGACAGCCTACATCTGTGTAGCAGTTTTTTCCCCAACCTGGCACGTGCCCAGCTAGTTAAGAAAACACAGGAAGACAGGGGAGAGACCGTCTTGGGAAGCCAATCTGCCAGCCCTCTCCCAGGTTTCCTCCCTCTCTTTCTTTGGGGATCTACTATTCTCCATTCTTATCTTTCCTAAGATAAGGAGGTCCTAAGAGGATTAAGAAAAAAAATTATCATTTTTTCAGACTCCTCATATTGTTTAATCGGTAGAGTGGGAAGAGGCCCTGTGACAGAGATGATAACTTCAAATGCAGCCACAGGACACCGTACACCAGCCATGTAACTTTCTTCTGGGTGGCTCTAAGAATATTTGGTGGAAGGGTTCTTGTGGCCATCCAGGGATAGATTTTAGTCTAAGGAACTCATTAAGCTCATGAGAAATGGTTAAGCTTTCAGAGTGAACTGTACTTAGTTCAGTTATGAGATGATCAAGAGGAAGAGTAACCCAATGAGAGGGCCTTTGCTTTTCTGACTCATGTTGCACAACACCAGCAGATTAATCCCAAAGCATTCCCTTTATAACAGTGTTTTTCTTTCTTTTTTCTTTTTTCTATTTTTTTTTTTTTTTTTTTTTTTTTTTTTTTTTTTTTTGAGGCGGAGTCTCGCTCTGTCTCCCAGGCTGGAGTGCAGTGGCGCGGTCTCGGCTCACTGCAAGCTCCGCCTCCCAGGTTCACGCCTTCCTTCTGCCTCAGCCTCCCCAGTAGCTGGGACTACAGGTGCCCGCCACCACGCCTGGCTGATTTTTTGTATTTTTAGTAGAGATGGGGTTTCACCGTGTTAGCCAGCATGGTCTCGATCTACTGACCTCGTGATCCGCCTGCCTTGGCCTTCCAAAGTGCTGGGATTACAGGCGTGAGCCACTGTGCCCGGCCTATAACAGTGTTTTTCAAATTATAGATTGAGACACGTTACTGCTTCCGGGGATCAACTTAGTGGGTTGGGACCACCATTTAAGAAAAAAGAAGAAAGAAAATTAAGACAGAAAACAGAGTGAATCTCATCAAGTAAAGTTAAAATGTGTTTTGTGAAACTTTTGTTTCATTCTCTCTCTCTACATATGTAAGTACTGGGATGCTAAGTTGAAAGTATTTCTTACTGCAGGTCCTGACCAAAAAGGTTAAAAGTCAAACTCTTCTTTGCTAAGCATGCCTCAGTATTTTCAGTGGTCTACCGTAAACAAACAAACAAACAAAAAAACAAAAAGAATTCCAACTCCTTCACCTCTAGGATTGGAGTTGTTCCCCAAATCCACAACTCAATTCTGCAACTTTATGCTAGGGTCTCACTTTTCTATTCACTATCGTTTCACCTTATGCTCATCTCAGTGTCCATGAATCACTGTGCCCCTTACTCATAATGCCTCATCTCCTTTGTAGTTGCAAATTCTACTCTCCTTTAGAGACCATTCAAGCTGTATCTTGCCATTTCGCACATAAGATCTCCATCTCCTCTCATCACTCATCTCTTCCTCTTGGTGTATTCATTTCCACACCTGATGTCCCCAGGAGCCCTCTCTGCCTTGCTCTTTATCTTCCTCTGATCACACTACACTCCTACATCTCCTTCTGGCAATGTTTTTTCCCCTTCCTGTGTCTGCCTCCCTCTCCCTGTTGCTTTCCTGTTGGCATCTGCCTTGCAGCTTACCTCCTCATTGACCTGTTTTTGTTGACTTGTATTTCTGCTTCCTTGTGTGTATCTCCAGTCTTCAGTCTCCACTTGATTGGGAGCAACTTGTGCCTAGGGACTGTGAATCACTTTTTTGTATCCCCCATGATGTTTGGCATAATATAAAGCATACAACAAGTACCCAGTAAAAATTTCTTGACTCAGTCAATCAATCATCAATCATCAATCCCTCCTTTGTATTAAATCTCTACCCTACTCGCTCCAGCATTTTTCTCTTTAGATACAGTGTTTTGTGTTTGAAACGGCTTTGCCATTTCTGAAGCTCTTTCATATCTATTATCTCATTTGATCTTATCTACAAGGACTTGGTCAAATAGGCATGGGCTATGATACACATTCTTGAGAGATGGGGTGACTAAGTCTCAAAGGGAGCTGTAACAGTAACATGGCTTATCAATGATGTCACTAGAATCAGAATCTAGGATGTGACCTATTCTGTGCCATTATCCTCCTCCAATGAAAACTTGAGAACAATAATCACGCAATAAAATAAAGAGCCCACTGAATGCAAAATAGAGTATGGAGAAAAAAAAGCAAAAATAGTGGACAAGGCATAACCTGTGTTTCTCATAGAATAAGAATTTAAATACAGTGTACTAAGACCAAAATTCTGAGTATCATTTTTGCTTCTTTAATTGCATTTGAGCTCTCACGATGCCATAGTAAGTGGGAGAAAATATATTGTCCACTTAGGGAGGATTATGTTGCTTTCCACTGTTAGATTGAGAAACATTTCATTAACTCCACCCTGACAATTAACTGGGACTCTGTACAGTGTTACATATAATAAGCAAATTCTCTTTCTTTTTAACTTATTAATTTATTTCTTACCAAGCTGTTCTCCTAAATGTTGACCTCGCTCAGTTGAGATGACCCGCTCGTCTTCCATGTCACACTTGTTCCCAACCAGAATAACCTGGGCATTATCCCAAGAGTAGGTTTTGATTTGGGTTGACCTAAAAGAAAAAGAACAAGCATGACATAATCATAGGAAAGCAGAACAGCATAAAATGAAGGAGAAGAAATACATTCCACAGATGATGATGATAACAAAAGGGAAAAAATCCCCACGAAATCCAAATGCCTGACATTTAGAGTTAATTAGTTCAGTGCAATTTTACCCTTCAGATACTCATCAGAGATTGCATGAGTCAAAAATCAAGGGAACAGTAGAGGTGTACTAATAATTATTTTGTACTTAATGAGATTAATACTACCACTGATTCTTCCTTTCCTCTTTTACCCCCACCTGATGTAATACCTTTACAGTAGGATAGCCAACCATCCTGGTTTCCCTAAGACTTTCCCAGTTTAAGCAGTAACAGTCCCATGTCCTGAGAAACCCCTCAGTTTCAGGCAAACTGAGATGGCTACCCAACCTATTTACAGCCTATCACACAAAAATAGTATTTTCCCTTATCACAGTAACAACTCAAAGAGCTAAAGCAATGGGGCTTAGGAAATCTGGGAGAAGTGATAATTTTTTAAAAAAAGAATCATGAGAGCTAATATGTTCATGCCTTACCTTTATAAGAGAAAAATGTCAGGTTGATTAATGTCAAAATTATAATACAATGAGCTGGCATTTTAAGTTGCTACAAACAGAATATTTGGAATTTAGAATAAGCCTCAATTATGAATCATGACACAAATAATCAACTTTTGATTTTGAAACTTAGATAATAAATGTAATAGTTTGCTTTTGCAGGTATTGTTTTTTAAAACCTGGTTAGCCAGTAAGTTTATTGTTTTATCTGAAAAATCATCCTAAAACATTGTTTGTTTTAGCTCTCAGAGGCTGCTCCTGAGCTCTGAGGAAGCTTCCCTTCTTTTGAGCTACCTGATCTTTCTTCTGCGCATGGGACATTTTGGGATGTTTCCACCTGTTGTTTTTAACTTCTTTATTGGGCATCTCATAGTTTGGGTTCTGTTGGATAGCAACATGAGCTTTTTGTTTTTGTTTTATTTATTTATTTATTTATTTGAGACAGGGTCTCGCTCTGTCACCCAGGCTGGAGTAAAGTGGCATGATCTTGGCTCACTGCAGGCTCAACCTCCTGGGCTCAAGTGATCCTCCCACCTCAGCTCCCTGAGTAGCTGGAACAACAGGTGCACACCACCATGCCTGGGTAATTTTTATACATTTTTTTTGCAGAAACAGGGTTTTGCCATGTTGTCCAGGCTGATCTCGTACTCCTGGGCTCGAGTAGTTCACCCACCTCAGTCTCCAAAGTGCTGGGACTGTGAGCCACCGTGCCCAGCCAATATGAGTTCTCTTGTTTATCTCCTCCATCAGGTCTGAAGTTATGCTGTTCTTCATGAATGGAAAGAATCATTTCTTGTAAGCATCTTCATCTGCTCCCATTAGGTAATGCATGTAATCTGCATCCTTCTGACCCATGATGTGTTTCCTATGCACTTCTGCATTCAGTTCCTTGCTTTCAGAATCACAAACATTGTCTGGTACTATGAGGGACAGAACAGCCTTCATCAACAACTCCCTTCAAGGCCCCAAAAACTTTATTGCCAGTGATGGTTCTGGCAAGGCCTACATCCAAATAGCAGGTGAAGGCACCAGGCTGACCATCAATGCTTTCCATATCGCATTAATCTCCAGTCATCTCCACTTGGCCTTCATAGATCTTGTCCATGCCAAACCTACCGAGAAGCCTGTGGGCCAGTGGCAGGCCAGTAGAATGTGCTGCAGCATAATTTGTCAGGCCAACCTTCACACTTTATTTTGGTAGTTCATGTACCATGTACATATGCTGCACAGACTACCCCTTCTATATGGGCATAAGCAATCTGACAAATGATATCTCTGTTTGTTACACAGACTATCACCCTGTATTTGAGTGTGTTGTATTTATTTTTATCCTGTATCACTGAGCGTTTTTGAGCATAGTAGTCAGTTCTACCCTCTTGTCGTCTCCTAAATTTCACTTGGTATCTCTTAAATAGGCCTTATTCTTAACAACTTTAACAAACTCCATTCTGCAGAAAAAAGACCCTCATCCACGGTTTGACACAGACCTGCAGGCCCAGCAATGCCGGGCAGAGAAAAAGCACAGGTATTTTTCAAAATACTTAATATCTGTTGCATTAATGTAATTCTTAGAATAACTTATGGAGAATATTATTATTCTCAACTGCCCATATCCTCAACTGCCCATTTTACAGTTGAGGAAAATGAGGCATAGAGAGGTTAATTGCCCAAGATCACTCAGCCAGTTAAGTGTCAAATGTGGGAATCACGTTCTGGCAGTATGGCTCTCAAGCCTGTGCTTTAAAACATGTTTCCACAATGCTCATTAAAAGTTCAAAAAGTTAAGTTCTAGTGCATTTATTGTTATCTAGAGGAAGCTGAGAGGAAGCTATCTTCTTTCATTCTCCCTTTGTATCAGTCACATTTTTATTTGAGAACAGTCTAAGATAGGTGGGAAAGACATATTCCCCGGTGGGTGGTCAGGACGGAAATACTGAAATGTTGAAATGTAAACAAATGATTAAAGTTTGAAAAAAAATAGATTTGTAACATGTCGAAAAGTAAAGCTTGGGAATGGTGTTACAATAGTCAAGTGAAGGATCACTGAATAGAAAATGGCAATGAAATGTTCTCAACTTGAAGAGGGAATAAAAAGCAAATAGTATAGCTTTTTAAACTGCAGCAGGAGCGTTTTCAATGAGCTATGATCACTGTTTCTCCTTCCTGAGAAGAAAGGAAAGAGTGAAGAGGCAGATAGGGTTTTATTTCAGCATATTCCCCTGAACCAAGTATATCTAAGTTTTCAAATGAGATTAAATTATCTGGGGAAATACATTCTTGATACCACCTGGACATCTCAGAGTCACAGCATATTTTTTCAGAACAATATGACCTTTCTAATTCTGATACCTCAGTTAATAATATATTCCCTTAGCAACAGTGAGATTTGGCAGGTATCTATAGACTGGGGAAATAAAGACAGAACTTTTATACTCTATACTTTTTCCTCACTTAATCTTATGTGTGGAGAATACGAAAAATGATGCATTAATAATGAATTAGGATGTAAAATAAATTCCACTCTTGGAAACACTTAAGTAACAAATGCTAATATATTTTTACAAAGGAAGTCAAAAGTTTCTTTTAAAGGATCTCACATCTGATCAGATTTCTTTATGTAATTAAAAGAAATAGTCTCTTTGTTCCTATACGTCTTGTAAGCCAGGGACTTGGAAAGGCCCTGGGTAGAGAGCCCTTATGTTAACAGAAAAAGTTTAATCCTGGTAGTAAAACTAGAAATCAGATACCCAGAGTCAGATTAGTGACAAGGGGTTCACCAGAGAGTGTCACAATTGTCCAAGGAAGGAGCTGGGGCCAGGATGTTAATGACCCAGCTTCTGAGTTTCCTGAGGACAAATGAGTGCTTGAGGAAATTTGGCATTCTTCTGACCTGGGCCAGTACATCCTACTGCACCCCTGACTGTATAAACTCAAGGCAGGGTGTGCTTTTGTGAAGGTCAGGAAAGTGCATAACTCACAACCCACTAGCTGATTCATGTCCCTTAACCAAATTAATGGAATGCTTGCTTCTACCACTAAACACATCTGAGTATCTCAGTTCTGCTGACATAATAATAACCCATGGGGTCTCAGGCTGCTGTAATAGGTTATACATTTATGCATATACAATATTCCCTGCTCCTCAATGATTTATAAAAATATATGATGAAGAACATACTTTTTTTGGCCATGATTATATGAGATCCATCCTCTTCATTTGCTCTTACATAAGAAATATTTCAATGTAACCTCAAGTTTTCTCAATTGTCAGGGAAATAATGTAAAATGAATACTTTCTACAATTGCCAGGGAATTATAAAGAATCATTATTTTGAAAGCTTACAGAGCCAAAGGAGACCAGTTTTATTTTTAATGAAATAAAAATTGTGGTCTAGAGCATTTGTGCTAAGATGAACAAAAGACTGATTTCCCATTAGAGTTGGTTAATTTTATGATTGAAATTGGGGTTGCAAATGTTCAATGTTTGACTTTGGTTTTGACTACTTGGACTTCCTAATGTTGTTCTGCATCAGCAGAGCAGGGAAGGGAGCTTTAGGCACAGTCCCACCACCAGCAACAGGGGATCAGAGCCATGCTGGCTGGTTTGTGAATTACCACCTATCACAAAACCTAACATAAATGATAAGATCAAAACTATTTTACAATGGCCAAGAGCAAAAGGATGTAGCAAATTAAATTATGTCAGCTTCTTGTTGCTTTGAAATTCCTTTCATGTATTCTGAAAGATTTAGCTTTTTTAAAAAAGTTTCTGTGCTTAGTGCATGGTAGGTTAACATATAAGATCTACTTGTATCTTCCCTTCTTAGGTCTGGTAGAACACTATGTTGTTACTTTGCAAGAAAATGTAAAATGATGGTCATTACTCCAAAATGAGTACTCATGTCGCTAATATGAAATTTATACCTCTTTCTGCCTACACAATAACTTTCTATCCATGTACCGATAACTATAACTTTGGCAATATAAGCAGCTATGACCAAGTTAGTGCATGTACGAGTAATGAAATCTACATTTGGTATTGCTGCATAGTGATCATAATAAGCCATTGATGAAAAGGCATATCTCAGTGTCACAGATTTTTTTTTTTTTTTTTTGAGATGGAGTCTTGCTCTGTTGCCCAGGTTGGAGTACAGTGACTCACTGCAACCTTCGCCTTCCAGTTTCAAGTGATTCTCATGCCTCAGCCTCCCCAGTAGGTAGGATTACAGGCACACGCCACCACACCCAGTTAATTTTGTGTGTGTGTGTGTGTGTGTGTGTGTATATATATATATATATATATATATATTTTTTTTTTTTTTTTTTAGTAGAGACAGGATTTCACCATGTTGGCCAGGCTGGTCTCGAACTCCTGACCTTAAGTGATCTGCCTGCCTCAGCCTCCCAAAG